AGGAGCCAAAGCAAACATAATTTTTCAGAATTTCCACCATTTTACCATCATCAACATTACATATAAAAACCCAAGACTTGTAAAGTCTGTACAGTAAATAAAATGGCTATAATTGTAGACATCACAACCCCTGGTTCCCATCACCACCACTGTAGAGAAATTTGAGTGTTTCTATAGTGAAAATTGGTGGAATTCCCCTTTAAGTAATCTTAAAGACACTTATGTGGTGTCTGACATTGTATGACATAATTTCCAACAAATATCTATAAAAATGGACAAAATGTCTTGAAGCCTGAATTTCCATATTCCAAGCTTGTCTTGATTAATTGACTATATTGGGGTCAGTAGTACAACTGGGAAAAACTGGGTTATTGCCAGACTCGCTTTAACAAAGCTTGTTGCAAACTGTTGGGTGGGGTGAAAAAGAAAGACAATTATAGAGTGGGAGGCAACTAAACTATTTCTGTTCTCTCTCCACACACACACACACACACACACACACACACACACACACACACAGCTGTAATTTGCTGTAGGCATTAAAACCAGTACCTCCCAGTTCCTTCACTAGAATTTCATGCTGGAAAGTTAGCTTGGCTCTGATGAATGAAGCAACACTTTTACACACACACACACACACACAAAACCTCATGCACGCACACAAATTGCTGCGGTAATGGGGCTTTTCTTAATGGTGGAGATCAGTCAGGCACTCTTAGCTACAGCGGTGGGATTTATTTTTCCTGGTGCAGCGATGTCCTCGCATTAGCCATCGTACAACACAGCCGTCCACATGAAAAAGAGGACAGGGACACTCCAACCCCAAAAACCAGCTTCTGCTGGTGGAAAGTGGGGTAAAAAGTATGTCAATTTCCTTCCAGTAAAAGATTGACAGAATGGGCACATGCTTTTTTGTGGGGTTGGCGGGGGGAAATGAAGACTTTGATGGTGAAGATCAGAGCTTATATTCACTAATGACCAGCATCAAAACCTCCACTGGACAAGCGTTTCATTACCAGAGATGCAAAGGGAATCAAAAGCAACTGAACACAAAAAATGCAACAGGCATGACATACGTATAGATATAGATATATATATTCATTTATTCGATAGTTAAACCCACTGAAAAGTTGTGAATACAACTTTCGAATGAAAGGCACAGTAAAATCAGACACTGCTGATATACTCAATGAAAAATAATTAATTACAGTACAAAAGCAGACAGTTATTTATGCACGTACAAATTCCTCTCGCGCCCCGCTCCTTACAGAGGTGCCGATCAGTCCCGGATGGAGCAGAGATGGATCTAGAACCGGGTGATTTAGAACAACGATGGCTGAACAACACTTATTGCTTTTCTATGTCGTAACATACAAGGTTGGACTTTTCAGAGCAATGCCATCCGAATGTGCTCCTGAAGGTTTATCAGCCTGCAGAGTTTAGTTCCAGCCTAGTACTAGACCTTCAGTACCGACAGTGTGATCCACCTGACTGAATGGATGTGTTTCATCATCTTAAAAGACATTCAGATCTAAAGGCTTATGCTTAATGCTCCCAAAAGAAACATAAATGATGAACTTGATGCCTATGATGTGTAAATTTATTTCAAAAATAAAGATTATGAAATAAAAAAGGTGTTTAGCAGCTAACAAGGTCACAGCATATGTGCATCTTCTTTAGTCCTGCATCAAGGCAAAGGGGGCTACTCTGAAGAATCTAATCTAATCAACATTGTGCTGTCGGAACAAAACCTCATATCTCCATTTTTACCGTTTTTCAGTTTTTTACATATTTCAAATTGCCTGTCACCCCTTACATTGTGTATAAATTTTATGATGAATGGACCAAAGAAATGGCCCGAAATTGCTTGGGAAAAAAGTCTGGTCCCATTGATTTACATTAAAAGTAAAGTATGTTTTTTCCTTCTCCTGTAAAGTTACCACTTTGGAGATACGAGGTTTTGTTCCGACAGCAGCGATATATTTCTTTCGATTTTGACGCTTTTTTGGCCACTGCATAATTCAATATGTGTTATTTCATAGATTTGAAGTCCTCACTATAGGACTGTCAAAGTTAGCACATTAATAAACACTAGTGGTGTAACGGCACCCTGCCCCACCCCCATAGATTAATTGGCTAGGTGTACAAAATGGTGCTGAACACTTCCACCATAAGCAGTGTGTGAATAACAACATCTGCCGGCGTCTCAGCTGGTGCTGCTCACTGACTTTCTACAGGAGAATTTACCAGGATCTGCCAAAGATCACCATCAATGATGTAGATCACATCAGCACAATAACTAAGGAAGAATAATGTGTCTTTCAGACTTTCAGTATTTTATTGTCCCACACATGTTCATCACCAATGCTGTGTTCTTGTGCAGTGACCGCACGCTTTGCAGCCTGTCTTGAGCAGTGTGCTACTAGAATTATGTACAAAAAACACTCATGACAGATGTTTTACACGCGACAAATCATTACAAGAGTGTATTCTGTACATAATTCTATGACAAATTGCTCTGCAAAATCTGTGAGTGCTGATGCTGAGTCAAAGCGATGCAGCATCGCCTGTAAAGCAGAACTCTTTGCGAAGGAAAAACATGACTGGAGCGTATTTTCTACATGAATGAGAAGTGAAAGAGCTGTTGGCCGTTCATACAAAGAACGGCATAGCCTGTTTATCGGGACCTTCATGGCAGATGTGACATTTTATTTAAACATCAGACATCTTGAATGTTGTTTTCTTTTAAGACCATGGACAAAAGCTTGGTGTATTCTTTAAGTAACAATTGGAAAGCAAAGTTATATTCCCTTGTTTTTCCACTGATCCGTGACTCAAAAACCAATAAAATCCGAACCGTGAGTTTTGTGATCTGTTGCATTCCTAAACACAAAAATGATTTCTGATATATTATTAACAACGCAAACATTTGTCCTTGTCTGTCCTTTCGCACCATCAACAGTAGTGCAGGCTTAAGCCCAGCTGCTCGTGTGCTGTGTGTTGCTGTGATTCAATCCGTGATTGTTGCTCTCTCGTTCAAATACTACCTCAAAGGTTCATGTTCAGGTTCAGGTAAACCCTTTCTTCCCTTGATGAAAATGTTTTTAGATTACTGAATGATATAGCTATAACAAAATGCAAAAACTTCTTTCTTTAGGGTCACATTTGGGTAAATAAGCCCAATGCGATTAACTGTGGTTTACTAACTGAATCGTCTGACAGCCCTACTTGACTAGTTAACAGTTAAGAAGAGAGAAAATCCATAATGACTAGATGTGCCCAAACTTTTGACAGGTACTGGGACTGGTTAAAGTTTGCAAGATCTCAAAAACAGATGGAAATGTTCCATTAACTTTAGGGCTGATCTGGTCAGCATTTTACAGGCCTCGAATACTTGTTGGTGCTTAGATACTCATTCTGAGTATTCCCCTTAAAAACAATAACACACGTAACCATTAGTATGTTTGTCTTAGAGTTCATAAACAGTTAGATGTCCCGAAAGGGGGTGGTTTCAGATAAGGAGACAGATTAGACAGACAGTAGTGAAGATACAGAAGTTAATCCAACACAAATTGTTCAAACTGTTTGTTTAGCAACATGTTTTCATAGTCAGTTTAGCTGGTTTACTGAATGGAGCCAAGTTCATACTCCACTATTAGCTTCATGGTTGCCATTGCCAATGAAATAAAGCTTGTTCACGATGACTCACCTTGTTATTTATACATTTTATATGTAATTCTAATAGATTTATGGCTGTTCATATCATATAGGAATCAGCTAAACTGTTCAGCAAGCCTGCTATCTCTGCTTATTGTGATCTCTCAGCTAGGCGGCGGCTAAACGAGTAAGAGTGGATGCTCAGCTTCTTCGCCTGAATGTCGTTCAACAGTCAAATGAACATGTTTTTGGCTATTTCTCTTTAAACGTTTTTTTGCCATTTTAATATCTTTCACTAACTTCTCTTACATCTTTCAAAGAGGGACTGAAAAAGGTGCCTGTGTTCAGCCTTGAGGTAACATTCTCTGGATGCGACATGACTTTTTATAACCAAATATCACGTCCATCGTTTGGAAACTGCCATTTTGTCCTGGTTTTATGATAAACTGTTTTGTTTAAAACTGTAAATAAGCCTCTCACTCTGAAAACTGTCCACTAGAGTTGTTGTGGTCCAAAGGGTTAACAAAAACAGCCTTCAGGTGCCCAAAAAGGACATGAATACCAACATAAACAAATGCTTGAGTATTCAAATTATTCAGGCCAGCCCTAATTACATTACTCCTAATTAGGATGAAGTTAAAATAGGGCAGGAACTAAGCTCTGCAGGTTGGTAGATGTTCCAGAGAGGAGCTGTGCATGAGGGTGCTGTGAGAGAAACAAACATCTGCGCACCCTTCATTCATTTTGTATGAAACGTACAAAGCTGGACTGATTGCCTAGCTTTGCTAGCCCCTCCTCCAAGGATCGATGCTCCATGAAATGATCAGTCGAGTGCTTTTGCACCGGGGCCCGCCTACTTGATCAAACACGCGCGCACACACATTAGCATACTGATCTAATTCACTGGTCCACCAAGTGCAAAATCAAACCAAATGTGCTAATTCATTAAAAAAAATAGGGAAATGGCAGATTGATAGCTCAGAGTTAACTGATGTTAAGTGTCAGAGACGTTTGATTAAATCGTGATTAATTCAATTTCAAAGCTGTGAAATTAAGAACGAATTTTAGGGTTGAGAAATCACTAATTTTCCAGTGTGCATGTATTTGAGAGTGGATGCATGGGCCTCTTTCAGACTATGGTTTGCTACCACTGCACTGGGCCTCAGTGCTGCAGCTGGGACATTACTTATTCCTAATGGCCAATTAGAGGCCACGTTTCAGCTCCACACCGATGGCAATGCATAATTTGGATTAACTTCAGCCTTCGCTGTGCTTGCTTGAATAATACAAGCAAAAGGAAAAAATTTAAATAAGTTACTGAAAAGACTGAAATGACTACGGTGATGTTGCCTTGGGCTTTTATGATCAGCTCAACGTGATAAATGTACAGGGATTGGATCAACATATAGCCAGACATCTTTGGTATATGCAAAAGTGGGGTTAAAAGAACAGCTGCAGCTCATCCGCTTCCTACTCTTCTCGTTTCCTTTGTTCTGTACACTCTTATCCCCTCTCTACCATGTTCTAAAGACAAACGCTGATTGCCGAACACCAGATCACTGTGATTCAATATGAGGAGAGGGATCTGGGGGTCCCTCCCGAGCTGCTGTGTGCCAATTTCCTCCAGCTGCCATTGTAAGCACACTCATATCTCATCAACCAGTCTATGGGATGAGATGCTACTCATAAAAAAATTAGCTGCTGCCTCCCTCGTTGGAGAGTAAACCTTATAATGATCCTTAAATGATGAACACAAGCTTTCGGATGAGTTCGGACTGTCAGAGACGCTAGCAAGTTTCATACATGAGTAGAAAGACCATGTGTGACGGACGGGTGATCTGGAGTAGAGAGAAGAACTGGCCCTCAAACTCTAGCAAAAGCTGCTTTTTAAAGATGACCTCCAGTCTCCATGGCAACAGCAGTCCACTACAGCAGGACATACCCCACCCACGAACAGTCACTCGTAAGAGTGCTCTGAAACGTCAGCAGGCCGGGACACAATGTGGACCTCAGAAGGCCTCACGAGTAAAAAGGAACCTCAGCAGAACCCAACAAGGTCCTTAGAAGTTCTTGGACGTGCTCCCCCCTACCCCCCGGTTCGTTCCGAAACGGGGATTCGGACGCTTCCGCCACACAGACAGTGAAAGTGGCTGATGGCTGGGGCTGGATGTGTTCGGTCCATGGGCCGGTCATTACCTGGCCGCGCCACTGAGCTGGGTGAGGTACTCGCGGAGTTCTTTGGCCGCCGCGAACCGGCCGTAGCGCTTTTTGGGGTTGGCGCACTCCTCCAGCATGGCCTCCAGCTGCCCGTCTTTGGCTATGTGGGCTGGCGGGTCGTGCAGCAAGCCCCCCCGGCTGCCCCTCCACGTGGCGTAGCGGGACAGCAGGTTCTGGCAGATGGCGTAGTAGTTGTGGTCCACGGTGACCCGCGAGCACAGCATGTCTTTAGAGAACGAGAGACAGGCCTCTTTATCACACTCCTCAAACCTGCTCTCGTACCAAACGTCGTAGTTCTCCGGCTTATCTGTGGAGACAGCAAAGTCAGCAGTCAGGCAAAATGTATTAGGGGGAAGACAAAAAAGGAGAACATTACAAAACGAGAACTTCTCAAAGGTCCATTTTAAAACTTACACGACAAGAATGAAAACACCATTTACTTGAAGTATAGCACAACTCAAACTTTAGGCATAATTCAATCATTGAGAAACAAAGTCATTCAGAGTGATTTAGTGTGAAGTAGGTTCTCTTCTGGGATCTATTTTGCCTTACCACACCCTGCATGTGATGCTTCGGCATGAATGCATTATAAATAAATAAATAAATAAATAAATAAATAAATCAATCAAGCATTTTAGGCCAACATCTCTCAAAACTAAAGTAAAACAATGTCTCAGATATCAGGCAACGTGTTCGTAACCATTTCATGTAATAACTATTAACCTTTTCAGATGTTCGGTTCCTATCACCATCACTAAACAATTCTCACTCATTAAGAATGGAGCATTTCACATCAAACCACTCTTAATAACTGATTATTCAGTCTACAGTATGTGCCATGAAACTCAACACCATCTATAACAGAGAACAGTTTGTCATCAGATGAAATGAATTCCATTATATTGTAGTTGTTTTTGTACTTTGGCTGTTTGTTCATTTTTCTCTATTTCTGAAAAACTATGGTTACAGGTATCATGTTGTGGTAGCAGAGACTTTCCGTTTCTGTTGTTGTGCTGCTCAAGCTGCAGTAAAGTGTATTACTATTATTTGTGAAGTCTTAGAATTTGACCTTATTTTAAGCCTTTTTAATCTTTGGGTGTGTGTGTTGGTTCAGTCACATATTTCAGCCTTTTTTCACTTTCGGACGAAAAACCAAAAGAGTCACTTTTACCATATTTGGTGGCTGAAGGTTTGGTGCATCTCGAATCTCCAGGCCTGAAAACTGAGCTTTTAAAACTCTCCAAAATTTCCAGAACTGTGGAAACACTATTCATAGATCTGTTCTAATCAACAGCTGAGGTTTTTGTATTATCAGAAGTTGTAATGCTGTGTTTCACAAAGACATCAGTTCATGGAAGGGATTTTGTTGTTTTTTCTTTCTGACTTGGAGCACACGGAGAGCAGTATTTTGATTTAGACACACCACCCAGGCAAGGCAATTACGAGCCTGTTCCTCTGCTAATAAAAACACTAAATTGGCCTCTCTCCATACAGCTTCCTTTTAATGCTTATTTTGTGAAGGGTGAGCGAGGAGAGGAAATAAATAACATTTTCAGCGATGAGAAACTCATCAGAGTTGCATTAACACAGCAAATCAATATGAGTGAAAAAGCCCAGGAGGCCACACAGCTCATAATCAGCACCTAAGAAGCTTAATGCACCCCCAGAATCTCCCCTTAACAACAGCTCAATCAAAGCTCTACACTGGGCTGCTATGCATCAATCAATGCTGCGGAAGGTGAGAGAGTTAAAGTGCACGATAGTAAAGTTCTGCTAAAGAGTAGAGATGGACGATTCAGACAAATCTGATATCTGGAATTGTAAGGCGTTATTCTCAAAACATTTGAAAAATGCATTCCGAGTCCGTTACCTCCGCAAATGTTATCAGCCTAGTCACGTCAGAACTTATTTCTCCCTGTATTTTCTAGCTGGAAAACAGTGAGTTTGTGAAGAGTTACTGCAGTGGTTCTCGTCAGGTGCGCGATGGCCTTTAGACGGCTGCAGTAGTCTTTCTGTGTTCCTTCGTTGGACTAAAAAGATAAGAAACTCTGACTAAAATGTAAAACGCAGGCTCTACACTGCCCTCTAGTGGAGTATAGAGTTTACACATCTCAAGATTCTTAAGATTAAGATGAAGATTAAGATTAAGTGACCCTTATTAGTCCCACAATGGTGAAATTTCACCTCTGCATTTAACCCATCCATGCAGTGAAACACCACATACACACTAGTGAAGACACACACTAGGGGGCAGTGAGCACACTTGCCCGGAGTGGTGAGCAGCCCTATCCACGGCGCCCAGGGAGCAGCTGGGGGTTAGGTGTCTTGCTCAAGAGCACTTCAGTCACAACCTGTCGGCTCAGGGGATCGAACCATTATCTAGCACTGATATTTCCTGTATGCGTTTTACTAAAGTAAACTATTTATCTTCTACTCAAGAACACTAATGAAAGCAGACAAAAGTGTGGAGGCCTACTTTTCCTACTTGAATTTTTCCATTCCACCTTAAATGGTGCAGCAATTATTATAGTGCCTGATACCACACTGCAACTGCTGCACCATTTAGGGCAGAATGGGAAAATTAAAACTGGCCTGGCAGGGTTATTTACACTTGCCTGTGTTTTTTTGTGTAACTGAATATATATATATATATATATATATATATACACATACACACAGACTCTTCAACTCTTTAGAATTAAAAAATATATATATATATATGTGTGTTATGTATGTATATATATATATATATATATATATATACACACACACACACACACATACACACACACACACATATATATATATTTTATTCTAATAAAAAAATAAGCACTAAAATTCCATTCAAAAGTCAGCTGAAGCCCACTCTCAACAATGTATACAGTCGCATGCAAAGGTCTTGGTGCCCTGCTCAAATTTACTAAATGTAAATAAGTTAACACATCCTCTACACTATCATGCGTTTGGAAAAAAACATATCCATTTTTTGTTTTTTTATTCAAACTTTCAAGTTTGTTTTTTTAGGTATAAACAAAACCTACATGACTACAAATGTACTTCAATTACCTATTTATAGAAATTGACTGAAGAATTCTCTTCCTTGAGGTTTGAAATATGAGGCTTTTTGAAAAGAAATTTTATTAAAGCTTTTTTTTTATTTTCACAGCTCTCTTCAACACTCGTCACATTTCCTTTCCAACAGCTCAGAATACAGTGGGCTGCTGGATGTTAAACAATGGTGAGAAGTTAAGGTGAGCTGAGTGAATTTTACAGCATCATGAAGCTTCTAGATCTCACACTTTCCGCATCACGCCTGGCCTCCAAATCCGCTTCATTAGCCTCAGACCACCACCAAGAGAGAAGACCCGGAGTGTGTGTGTGTGTGTGTGTTTGCATGTGTGCACATGTGTCTGTGTGGGTGCATGTGTTCCCAAGGATAATGATTAGAATAAAGGCAAAAATTTCCAATTTTCTCCATTCAAAGAACGCCGACGCTCCTTAATTCCCCCTCAAAAACACGCCAGCTGAATTTTTGCAAGCCAAATTCGCTGATTTCCAATTCAAACTAGTTCCAGTGTCAGACACAATCACTAGCAATATTCCAGACAACCCCCCCTAAAACCCCACTCTGCTCCCTTTCCCTCCGTCTAATCCGCACAACACACGAGGGGGGAAGGGTCGACAGCTGATTTTTGGGGGGCACAAGCCTAAAACGGGGTTTCTTGCAGGCTGAAAAGACAAAGAGCCACAGACCGGAGGCCATTCTACCGCTCTAAAAACGCAGTCAACGCTGAAACTCTTCATGCTCAGCTGAGTTACCCAAATATTCTGACTTCAAAAGACTGGAGCGCTTTACACGCCACAGTAAGCAGCTGTTTTCCTTCAGAAATGATGATTAACACTTTGAGCAAAGCCTGCAACCAGTCTGCTTCCAGCCTTGTGATTAAAGATCACTTGCAGTAAAAGACCAGACGTTTTGCTAAAGAAGTAAACGCTGATATACATCACTGTTCAAACGCTTGGAATTAACGGTCATCAATATTGTCAATAATAGCCTCTCCGTTTTTGCCGTTTTCCAGTTTTTGACATATTTCAAAAATGCCCGTTCACCTTTACATTGTGTATAAATTTCATGATGCGTGGACCAAAAGAAATGAACCCAAAATGACTTGGAAAAAAGTCTGGTTCCATTGACTTACATTAAAGGTAAAGTAGGTTTTCTCCTTCTCCTGTAAAGTTACCATTTTGGAGTTATGAGGTTTTGTTCCGATCACAGTGATATATTTCTTTTGATTTTGACACTTTTTTTATTTAAGAATAACTCATATAGTGTAGATTTGAACTGCTGCTGATGGAAGAAAACGTTGTATCTCCAAAATGGTAACTTTACAGGAGAAGAAAAAAGACTCTAGTGCATCAGACCTCTTCCCCGAGTGGATGAATCTCGGTCAAAACTTGGTGAAGGACGTGTCTTCTGAGGAAGTGAGTGAATTATCTACTATTGTCATCATATCTGTATCAGTAAATTGTTGATTTTGAGACGTAAACAGGGAATCTGACCTTCTTTTTGAGCCTGGGTGACTCACAGCAGCACAGAGACACCATATTTACATTTACATTTCACAACATTTGGCAGACGTTCTTATCCAGAGCGACTTACAATTGTTCATTTTACACAGGTAGGTGAAGGTAGTGTTGGGAGTCTTGCCCAAGGACTCTTATTGGTATAGTGTAGGGTGCATACCCAGGCGGGGATTGAACCCCAGTCTACAGCGTAGAAGGCAGAGGTATTTAACGTTTTTATTTCTCCTGACTCAGTAATGCTACGCTTCTAAAATTCAAACAAAAAAGGTCTTACACAGTCGTAGCAGAAGCAGTTTTGATGTGTATGAATGTCATCAAAATATTGCATTTAATATTCATTTACAATTTACATTTATGGTATTTGGCAGACGCTTTTATTCAGAGCGACTTACAATTTCATGCTTTTTACACAGGTAGGCGAAGGTAGTGTTAGGAGTCTTGCCCAAGGACTCTCGTTGGTGTAGTGTAGAGTGTTTGCCCAAGCCGGGGATCGAACCCCAGGTGTTACCCACTACACTATACCACAGTTTAAAGTAATTAGTACTGTAGTTAAAATACATCATCCTTCATGAATGGAGTTCTTGGGTTTGAATTATCGATGATGTCATCGCTATAATGGTCACTGTCACTGGGGAGACGGCAAGTAGAAAGGTTGAGCTCTGCTCCTAAAAATAATATGAAGTGCAGAAACTGTTATAAAAAGTTTGTGAAATAGTTTGTCAG